GGTGTGTTGATTCTTGACCAACCACAAATCTGTTCCACAACCACAACAATGACCTGTCAAAATATAAACATGGCTGACATTACGTGTCTTTTTAAAATAATATACATCCCGGGATATACATGTACAATTACCCTGAGCATTTGTTGGACTTCAGCACTTACTAAACTTGAAAATAATAATCTGAATTCTAAAGCAACAAATGAAGATCATATTCATAATTAAAATATTTAAAAACTGAGATACCAAAATAAACGAAATAAACTAAATCTGGATGAGAATCCAAACACCAACAGCTGTTATACAATTGTCAACAATTATCATATCCAGTTTTAAATTAGTTCTTATCTTATCATTTAATGTACACAATCCTTTGTGAAATGTATCAATGTTATATCATCTATCTTAAATCCCGTTAACCTCAATGATGGAGTCCATATTAGGTGAGTTGTCAAGGTACCAATTTAACCAAGATAGGATAGTCGAAGCATTATTACAAAATGCCATCACCCAAACAAGCACAATCTATAAGACTTGGAGTAGGAAATGTATTCCAGGGGATGGAACTTGGTATATAATTAGAACTACATGTATTGGGCCAGTATTGGGGAAAGGCTGATTTCTCCTCCAATTTATTACATGTAAAAGGAAATTCCAAGTTCCATAGATTCCATTTCATGAAGACATTTTTGTCTAAATAAATACCACATTCAGACAGGAATATCTTGATGATCAAGAATCTACGGAATCCAGAACTCGCTGCCAGGGTCCTAGTGCCAAATTTTCTGGTATAAAATCAAAATGATTTGTGATGCTTACTTCATGCCAAAACAAATTCTATCCAAAGATGTTATCCAAGGAATCCCAACTCTTTCCAAGTCAAACAATAGGATTTCTAATGATAATATTGCAATAAAAATCACAGGCGTAGCCAGGGGGTTGGTGCGCTGGGTGCGATCGCAGATGGAAGAGAAAGAAGAAAATAGCTTTAAAATGCTTTTTATTTGAAGCTTCTAGCTCAATTTTGAGGGAAGTTGCATCAATCTTTGTAAAATTTAAGATAAATCTTAATTTCTTGCTTGTTTATGCCACAATGGCACCCCTCTGACTGAAAGCTGGCTACGCTCCTAGTAATTTCTACATCTTGACTTGTCTTAGTATTTCCTTCAAAAGGCAAGCTGTAAAGGCCCCATGAAAAGTTTAAAAAATCACTTTCCCTTTTACCATTGTTATAAAAATGTTATCTTTTTCAATTTCAAGAAGTTATTGTTGAAAGACCTTTAGGAACTACAGTATGTAGGAACTTACAGTCCTACATAGACATAGAGCCCGAAAAATTGCTCAGATGCTATAAAACCTTGATCACCATTCCCCAGGACAGAACTAAATGTATGTGCATGTAGTAAAATGCAGTTTTTGATAAGGGTGAGATCATTACAAACTTCCAAATGTATCAAATTAGGTTGTTATACAAAAAATACTATACTAATATTTTTAACTTTGGAGGTGGTGTTATTTTCCTGAAGCTACATTGGGAGGATAACAGTAGGATATTGTTTATACACACTGTGATATCTTCTTAATTATAATATGAAACATATTCCTAAATGTTTTTTTATATGGGGCGGCCATGTGATTACCAAGGCATTAAAACATGACAAAGTTTCACCACCTGCAAATGGTTACAAAAGTTACAAATGCATTGACCAACTCAGGAGAGTTGTAAACAATGCATTTGACTATTTTTTCTCTTAGCGATACATATCAATGTCTCCAGCTGACCTTCTGCTGTCAACAATGTGTGCAGTAAACAAAAACTAAAGTACAAAATATATGATCTGAGTATTAGGGTCAATGACACTTATCTTAATTAGCCTATTTTTTATACTAAACTTCAGGACATTGACCATTTTGATTCTCAGCACACATTTGACTTATAAAGAATGTATAACTGGGGACAAATGAAAAGTTGTGATCTTTTACAAGGGCCATTGGCACTGAAACGTTTCAAGCAGATTTTACTTTGATAAAAAATTATCAACATAATATAAACATGTTTACAAGATCTGATATCTATGATCTTGAAATCTATTTCGCAAGAACATGCAAAATTTCTATAGACTCATAAAATCTAAAAATAAAAATTTATATTGACAACACTAAAATGTCAAGATACTCTAAATATCAAAAGTTTGGAGGTCAAGAATTATTAAGAAATTGTATCAAATAGATTTTCAATACTGAATTCTTATTATAACAATAGCTTTGATAACCAGGTGTTGAACGACTATACTGAGAGTAAATGTTATATAGACTATTAGTAAACATATTTACTACCGTCAGATTGGGACTGAAGTAGATGGGTGGAGACATATATGTTTAAAAATAGAATAGCATCATACATTTTCACAATAGACAAACATTCCACATAAACAACATATAGAAGCATCCAATGCAGAACTGGGCTGACAAAATAAAATAATATGATGTTAAAGATAGACTAAGTTACACATAGACCCAGGCACATATATAGAACTCTAATGCAGTGGTCCCTGACATTCTTGTGCCTCTACCTCCAGGTCCGTAGCCAGGGGGGGGGGGTCACAGAGTTCGGGCGAACCCCCCCCCCTGGCCAAAAATTCTTACAAAATCATGCAGTTTTTCACCATTTTGAGCACATATTTGGGCCAAAATTGTCAAATGTGAACCCCCCCTGGACATTTTTGAAAACTGAACCCCCCTTGGCAAATCCTGGCTACAGGCCTGCCCTCTCTCAAAATATATTTATACCTGGTACCTAGTATACTGAAAAATCCTGGTATGGATCATGCAAGATACATTGTCAAAAAGTATATATTTCAATTTTGTCCCACATTCTGAACTGAAAAGTTAAGATGACTCCGTAAAACACCTAGATTTTATTTATTTGACATTTCTAATTGTCTTGGTACATTAACATTAAGTGAAATTCAACTTTACTCAAGCATTAGACATATTTATGTTCTTATTTTTCATCCAGAGTCTCTGCTTTTCAGGGGGTGGGGTTCTAATTTTCAAGAGGGTCTCTAATCAGGCATGCACAATGTAATTCCTGAACAATGAACACTTAATAGGTGAGAGCACCTCTAAAAATGAACATTTTTACATTCCATTTAATGTCCCATCCCATTGATCTCCATGTTACATTATCACCATCTCTTAAAGTGCAACCTCACTATCAAATGCATTTTGTTTTCACACCTGTAACTTTTGATGTTAAAAGTTCACAACTCATAGTACGTTAATACTGCTAAAATGAATAATTCTACAACTTGGGTCACAATGACACAAAAACAAGTGAATTTGTTTACTCAAAGAAGGACAAACTAACTAGTGATCAAGTCAAATTTGATATATTTATTTTCAGGTTAATGGTTTCTATACACTAATGTTTTTACATCTTTTACTACCAAGGTCATATACAGGTTGGAACAACAGAAATCTTGTATATCTAGAAGATGTGTGCTGTTTTGGATCAAATGTTTTTATAGTTGGACGTGTTGGGTTTTGAAATAGGTGTAATCTTCCCAAAATTATAGCAACAAGGTGATGTACTCTGCTGAAAATTTGAAAACACACACCACCCTGCGGAAAATCTGTTTGTACCTTGTTAAAAGGATGAATTTATTTTCACTAAAACAGGTAAAATTAAGATCATGATGTTAACAAAAGTAATACATTCAAAATTACATTCAAAATACTCCAAATCTCAGATCATTTGTACTGATTATACTACCAGTTCAATCTTCAGTTTATTAATTAAAGATGGCAGCATCTCCTTGACTATATCAAAGAGGGCAGCACCTCCTTGACTATATCAAAGAGGACAGCACCTCCTTGACTATATCAAAGAGGGCAGCACCTCCTTGGTATTTCAGCTTCAAGGCGGTAGTTTGTCTACACTTAGTACACAGACTAACAAAAGTGTTTTCCAAGCTATATAATGAGGAATCCCTCATCAACCTGTTACCATATGATGAAAATTGAAAATGTTAATTTGTAATTACTGAAAATTACTTAAAAATCATGATATCCACTTTCAAAATGAGCATATGAAAATGTAACATCAACTTGTGACACCATCCCTGAAGTATTGTACTGGGGGGTGCCGCTGAGACTCAAAATATCTACTACCCTGCGTGCAGAGTCTAGTTAAACTACACTCTGCCTAGTTGAGACCATATTACAGTTTAGTAGCCCCGCCCCCACGACGGGTACCGGTGACAGTTTGGGTAATAAATCACTTCTGACCTATGCGCTGGCCTTTCTTCCACCATTCAGCGAGCTTGAAGAAACATACGCCAAATGCGTTCTAATTAAATATGCGCATGGCATTGGTCAATTCCGGGCTCAACGATGACGTCAGAAGGAATGACCATATATAGAACGTCGGTCAAATTTGGCCGACGAACACTGATTGGCGCGGTGAGTTCACAGGTTTATTTTAGTTTGAAAGAGTGAAGACGAAGCTCTCTTTTAAGAAGTGAAGTCAAACGAATGCAAAGGGTAAATATCTACCCACATCTAGGGATTTTTTCTCTAAAAATGGACCCACATCTAAGGTTTTTCTTTCAAAAATAGACCCACTTCGAGGTAATTTTTCAAAAACAAGACCCACTTCTGGCAATTTTTTCAAAAACAGTACCCAGTTTTAGGATTTTTCAAAAAGTAGACCCAGTTCTATTGATTTTTTCATCAAAATGGGACCCATATCTAGGTTTTTTTCTTCAAAATGGGACCCACATCTAGGGATTTTTCGGAGGAAAAGTGATCCACTTTAGCGGCACGTCCCCATATAGCGCAGAAGTACCCCCCCTCGGAGTATATCTGTGTCCCAATACTTTTGTCTCAGTGTGTATCTGTGTAGTGAATGCTTGCTTGGGGAATTGTAGTATTCTGTAGGTCTGTACAATAGACTGTAAAGTTATGAAGTAAAGTTCAGCCTGTGGGCCAGATTCACCTACCTGACTCTCTACCCTTATCATCCTTGCACAAAGTGTCTGTTTCTGTTTGTCTTTGTCACTGGACATTGACCACACTCCAGGTTTACCAAGGGTCTGGTCTAGCCTAGAACAAAGCCAAATATGGTTAGTAAAGATTTATTCGTTTATATTACCTTGCATTTTTACATCTCCAATTTTTGACCATTAATGAATGAAATTAGATCAAATCACCATATTTGGATAAATTCAACATATATGGAATCTGAGGTGCGAGTTGTCGAATCATTTGTCAGTTGTCGAAAGGGAAATTAATGTATTGCCTCAGAATTTATATGTTTTTTTTTCATTTTATGACTTTGATTATATTAAAGAAGTGTTTAAAAAGATGTGAGAATTTTTCCATTAATATCAAACATCGCAACTCATCTTCAATTGGGTAAGTCTGCTCCTCTTTCAATCATTTGTCTTTGGCTCATTGCAAATCCATATTTCAATAAAACAACATTAGTACAAAAGTTGTACCCAGAGAAGTAACACCTCACCTTCTTTGAAGTTCTTTTATGCGCACCATCATGTTAAGATGACCTTGAGAGTATTGTTCTATGACATCACGCACGTCATAAGGTTTCCTAGCTTGCTGAAATAAAAGCATAACATTAAAATAATGTGAGAAACAGACAAAATATCATTAAATAAAACAAACAATTATTAAAATACAGAGGATAGCCTTAGAGGAATCTTTCAATTTTGAGGACAATATATGCAGATTTTTCCATTTAGAAAATTTAATGACACACAGTGAAAAGTGTCAACTAGAAGAGCCAAAACCTAATCAAATGTTATCACTAGTCTGCTTTTGCATCAGCAAAAATTTCAAGTTAAATAAAAAAGATTCTTGATGACAAGAATTCTATTGCTGCCTGTTCTCAAACCATCAGAACAAGATGAAAACAAGAATATAATGGCACTTTTCAAGTGCGATATTATAAATAACATAGTTGAAAGCCCATGTAAATAATCATGAATAGGTAATATACCTGGTAGGTCATCATATTTCCATACATATGTCTTGATATATTGATATAATTTTCACCACAAACTTGTATATTTCAAAACATAAAAAATAAACATATGCACGACTGCATGTAGTAACATTGATTACCTGAAATTTTCTTCTGGCTACAAAATATCTGATTCTTCTTATTACACGTATAGCTGTTTTGTGAGCTTCAGTTAACCTGCAAGAAATAATCATGATATGTAAATAGTAAACATATACGAGGGTTGTCCCAGAAGTAGTGCACTATATGCTCTAACTTTCTTTAATATTCTTCAATTCAGCTGAAATTTGATGTATATAACAATTGAAGTTTTATATAAAATCTTTGCATACATGTTCCATACTGTAAAATATCATCCTAATTCACAAAGTTTAACTTGATCCTACCTCTCTAGACCCAGTGGAAAGTGATGATGGTAAACAATGTCCATTTTAATACTGCTTTATTTAAAATACATCACTATGTTTTCTTCAATGAAGCAGAGAAGTTGGGATGTTATTTGCTCAGTGAGTTCACAAATCTATTTGTAATATATAAGTCAGAGGGAGTAAGGCTCTAGCAAAGGGTACTTACTGTACAGGTTTTTGACAATGCTCCCCAAAATAATTAGTGTAATCCCCATCAGGTATATCATCCCCTTCATTCATAGAGGAATACAGTTTATCAGAGTACTTTTCAAGGTTGGGTGCCTGCACCACTGACTTTTTCCTTGATGGGGAGGCTGAAATAATATCTATGGATAATAATATATAGATAATGGAAAGGCTATAGCACAAGATGTTGAACTAAAGCGCTTTAATAATCTTAATGTACTCAACGATAAGTGGCTAGGCCCCTTATTTCTTGTTACAAATGATAACAAGGCATCAACATACAAAAGTCACTACCTACCATTTGTTACAGATGCCAACCACCAACCAATGAACACCAAACACCCACCACTCAACACCAACTGCCAAACTCCATCCACATAAGAGTTGGTGATCATAAGATTATGTCACCACTTGTGGTGGTGACATAAAAATGATAAAAGGAACATGGATTCGGACAAGTTACATAAATTCCAGCCAACCAAATGACTCAACTGGCTCCTCCAAATCCTTCTCTATGGCCACTACTAATGCACATTCATTTGTCTTCTCACCTTGTTTGTTTGGTTCCTCAGCATAGAACACCATTGAGCTTTCACTGTCCTTTCTCTCTAACACAGGATGATTCCCTATATGATTATTAAGGCCACTGAGGTCCAATTTTGGCTTGGAAAATTTTCTCCGCCGCATAAGACTAGCTCGTCTTGCGACGTTTTTTAAAGTGTTTGTGTGTTTATCCTGAACGTGTATTCGCCAGGTGGCGTTAAATACATGCTTGTTATCTGCTGCATAACAGCGCCATAAACACTGGAAAAGACAAGATTTGTATGTTAACGAGAACCATAATGTCAAGATAATTTTGTCTTTTCTTAGTAGTATTTTGTACACATGTAATATGCTGATACTCCTGAATTTTACTGTATCATTGTTAATTCAAATTCATATTTTTAAAGCAATAAATGAATAAAAGAAACACTGTGGTTTCCCCATTTTGGAGGATATTCCCAAAGGGGAAATCATTTAAACTATTGCTCAAAATTAGGCAGTCGCAATTTGTTTAATTAGGGTATATACCAAAGTGAGTTCATGTGGTGCACTTACTTGTTCATGTGGTGCATTTATTTGTTCATGTGGTGCACTTACTTGTACATGTGGTGCACTTACTTGTATTCTGTTACATTTACTTGTATACAGTATTGCACTCACTTTGTCATATGTTACACTTTTTTATTCATTTGTTACACTTACTTTTTCATGTGTTACACTTACTTGTATGAGTGTAGCTGCTGCTGGAATCTGTCTATTGAAATGTTTTTGTCGTTGCTTTTGTTGAACTTTAAGAGCAAACCCTGAGCCAAGTATACCCTGGAACACATTAGTGACACATCATGATTAATTATGGTCTGAATCTCAAAATATTCAATCTTAAAGCATATTTCACGTTGGTATTCAGAGATTGACTTTTTTGTATGCAAGCAAGACTGGCTATTAGCATTTGCATTGTTGCAAACTGTCAATGTAGCATTGCATCAAGTAGTTTAACACACAACTTTGGGTTGAAGAAATAAAGAAAATTCCCATACTCCAAGGAGAAACATCTTATCAAAGACAGACATCTCATTCTCCAAAGAACACATTCAATATTGCAGTTTGATTCAAGCCCTTATCAATTTTGTTTCATAATTTTGTAAGTAATACAAGCTTATTCGGGCTTGCCAAAAAACTGCTATTGGCTGTACCAAATAGATTTGCTTCAAGACCTGGAACTTCAATCATCTACTTTACAAAGTAGAAAGGGGGGGGGGTGATACTGGGTCTTGAAGCAAGACTATCTCACTTGATTTCAACAATGATATTCCAAACCAAGTTCTACACCATTAAATAGATGGCAGCATGGTTTGTTGTTTACTATGAAAGTTCTTGACCCTTGATATTCACCCCTTATTGTTATAGTCTCCATATGTGGTTCATACATCAACAAACACTGTTATCACAATGCAGTGAATCATATTTTCCTATGGACGTGTATGCTGTACACCTATACTGGAACAGTACTGAAAATCTCCTGTGTAAACAGTCTATTTTACACACATATTGAGAAATAGCTGTGCTGATAGTCTAGAAGCCATTGGAGTGAATATTTTTATTCAGCTATAAAACCTCAGTCGAAATTGTGCAATAACAGCATAGAGTTGCACTAGATGGTATAAAGGTATGTATAATCAAGGGGCATGTATACCTGCCATTGATTTTATAAGTTCTTGCTCACAGTGATCACATGAAATGGTAATTTGAAGTCTCATATTACATGTATTATATGGGGCCATATTCCAGTATGTACTCACTGAGGAGTGTACTTATAAAGGGCTATTTAGCAGCTTGACCACTGTATATATAAGGTACTTCATATGTATCACAAGGGATGACAAGATTATGATGGTTTATTCAGTGTAATTTCTTGTGACCTGATTTGCCAACACAGATGTCTCTTGAATTTTTAACACCGAGACACAATTTTTGTGATGCCTAAAGCAATGACAGGGACATTGGTATACCTTATATCTATATAGTATGTAAATGCTATTGTATTTATAATTCATAATTTCCATTTCCAGGTTCGAGATGAATATACTTGGTTTGTTAGAAGTCTCTGACATTCTGCTCTTTGTAGCATGCATTACAGTGGCACTATACATGTAAGTATACATGTTTATATAATAGCATGCATTACAGTGGCACTATACATGTAAGTATACATGTTTATATAATAGCATGCATTACAGTGGCACTATACATGTAAGTATACATGTTTATATTATAGCATGCATTACAGTGGCACTGTACATGTAAGTATGCATGTTTATATTGTAGCATGCATTACAGTGGCACTATACATGTAAGTATACATGTTTATATTATAGCATGCATTACAGTGGCACTATACATGTAAGTATACATGTTTATATAATAGCATGCATTACAGTGGCACTATACATGTAAGTATACATGTTTATATAATAGCATGCATTACATTGGCACTATACATGTAAGTATACATGTTTATATAATAGCATGCATTACAGTGGCACTATATATGTAAGTATACATGTTTATATAATAGCATGCATTACAGTGGCACTATATATGTAAGTATACATGTTTATATTATAGCATGCATTACAGTGGCACTATACATGTAAGTATACATGTTTATATGATAGCATGCATTACATTGGCACTATACATGTAAGTATACATGTTTATATAATAGCATGCATTACAGTGGCACTATACATGTAAGTATACATGTTTATATGATAGCATGCATTACATTGGCACTATACATGTAAGTATACATGTTTATATAATAGCATGCATTACAGTGGCACTATACATGTAAGTATACATGTTTATATAATAGCATGCATTACATTGGCACTATAGATGTAAGTATACATGTTTATATAATAGCATGCATTACATTGGCACTATACATGTAAGTATACATGTTTATATAATAGCATGCATTACAGTGGCACCATACATGTAAGTATACATGTTTATATAATAGCATGCATTACAGTGGCACTGTACATGTAAGTATGCATGTTTATATAATAGCATGCATTACAGTGGCACTATACATGTAATTACAGTGGCACTATATATGTAAGTATACATGTTTATATAATAGCATGCATTACAGTGGCACTGTACATGTAAGTATACATGTTTATATAATAGCATGCATTACAGTGGCACTGTACATGTAAGTATGCATGTTTATATAATAGCATGCATTACAGTGGCACTATACATGTAATTACAGTGGCACTATATATGTAAGTATACATGTTTATATAATAGCATGCATTACAGTGGCACTGTACATGTAAGTATGCATGTTTATATTGTAGCATGCATTACAGTGGCACTATACATGTAAGTATACATGTTTATATAATAGCATGCATTACAGTGGCACTATACATGTAATTACAGTGGCACTATATATGTAAGTATACATGTTTATATAATAGCATGCATTACAGTGGCACTATACATGTAAGTATACATGTTTATATTATAGCATGCATTGCAGTGGCACTATACATGTAAGTATACATGTTTATATAATAGCATGCATTACAGTGGCACTATACATGTAAGTATACATGTTTATATAATAGCATGCATTACAGTGGCACTATATATGTAAGTATACATGTTTATATTATAGCATGCATTACAGTGGCACTATACATGTAATTACAGTGGCACTATATATGTAAGTATACATGTTTATATTATAGCATGCATTACAGTGGCACTATATATGTAAGTATACATGTTTATATTATAGCATGCATTACAGTGGCACTATATATGTAAGTACAGTGGCACTATGTATGTAAGTATACATGTTTATATTATAGCATGCATTACAGTGGCACTATACATGTAAGTATACATGTTTATATAATAGCATGCATTACAGTGGCACTATACATGTAAGTATACATGTTTATATAATAGCATGCATTACAGTGGCACTATATATGTAAGTATACATGTTTATATAATAGCATGCATTACAGTGGCACTATATATGTAAGTACTGTACAGTAGAACTTCTCCAATCAAACTACAATGAGACTGGCCAAAAGTGTTAAAATTAGCAGATGTTCACATTTCAAGGTTTCTGATTATTCCAGTCAATGGGAGAAAACGAAAATCAGGATGAAGGTGTGTTTGGATCACAGAGGTGTTCGGATAAATGGGTTTTACTGTATATAGATCACACCTATAATTACAAAGTTTGATTAAAACAGTTCTCATAAAATACAGATACTTTTTTGTTCTTGAAAGATGGAATTTCTTTGTTTGCATATTTAGCTACCTTACATGGACCCACAGTTTCTGGGCTTCACAAGGAATCAAGGGACCTACCCCTTATCCCATACTAGGGACCTTACTGACCATGTTAAAGAAGGTAAGTTCTCTGGAAAGATCAGAATGAACATATCCTCCATCATCAAGTAACAGAATATTTTCATTTTATTTTTGAATATGTTCTTTAAAGGTAAAAACTATATTTTTAAGAGAGTTCTGAATTACAACCATGTTTTTGAGATAGAATACTCTTATTCAAAGGCGATAAGATATATGCTTAATATTATTCAAGAAATAATGGCCTATACATCATTTGAGAAATTTGAATGCTTTATCTAACTGCGAACTATTTTCTCATGAAATATTTCAATAATGGTGCTAATGAAATAGGCTAACAAAAAATATTTAGTACACATGTTTTTACAGGGAGTTTATGAGGGAGATAAGGCACTGTATATGCAGTTTAAGGATGAGAGAGTTATAGGGTAAAATAGTTTAATATAATTATACAGTCTTAGGATCAAAGTATTCATTTGAGACTGTATGATGTCAAACTTTATTAACCAAGATGTATACAGCTACAATCTGCAAGAATTATTTTGTTGACATTTTGACACCAAAGCAGTATCGACCAAGCAAAAACATTTCTTTAGCATCATGTTGACATGAATTTGAAATTGTTTCACCAATTGTTCAGCGTTTATATGTTTTTTCCTTTTATAGTTTTTTTACACTCTTGCTCCGTTTGTTTTTATCCAGATTTTGTGAGCTTACTTTCTGATTATTTCTTCAGAATGTATGATGGCAGAAACCCCAACTTGATAGTGAAAGATGGAGAGCTCCTGAAAAGAGTTCTTGTCAAGGATTTCCAATATTTCATCAACAGAAGGGTATGTGCATTAGTTATATGCTAGATATATTCTGATTATGAAATTGGTTTTCTCAAATATCTACATGAAGTTGAGCAAAGTAGACTAAAAGAAAAACACTGTTAGGTTTTGATACAACAGTGAAATAAGAGGGGAGATCTCCCTTGAATTCATAAATGAACCTATATTCTCTAGAGTTATACTCTTACATAAAGATAGGTTCATCTAAGAATTCTTCCATCATGTTTTTTATATGATTTATTACCATTAGAATATACCAATAACCTCATTCCTAAGAGCAATATAGAGAAATATTGCACAATCAGAGTTCGCACTAGCCCAGGGACGCAACCCATTTGAAAAATTTGAGTCTCCATCTAATTTTTTTGCGTCCCTCTTGTTTCTTCACAAAGTTCAAGAAAATATTGTGAAAGTGAAAATAAAGTGGGCGATAATAGAGTGCTTTACACTAAAATGGGATAAAAATGACATATATTGTAATTTGATGCATCCTCCCGATAAATATTTATCACTGGGTCCTTTTCACAAAATTCTTAAGTAATGTTATACCAAAATAATCCGAAATGAATAAAGGAAATGCTCAAATTAAGGTTCAGCTGGAAAGTAACATTTTGGTAAAAAATTGCTATACCTGCACATGTTATTTTCTGGTACAAAATTAAGTATGAAGGCATGTGTGTATTTCCTTGCTTTTTTCAGGAAAGTATCATTACACTGTCTTCTTTTAGAATATCTGGAAACAGGTCAATGGTAGCTCCTGTGTTGTCTGGAAACTTTGAAAGAAAATTTGGAAAAATAGAAAGTGTGAAATATCAGAATTTCCTGGAGTTCCCATGGAACGCCTACCAGATATTTTAAAAGAAGACAATGTAATGATACTTTCCTGAAAAAAGCAAGGAAATTGACACATGCCTTCATATTTTATTTTGTACCAGAAAATAACATGTGCAGGTATAGCAATTTTTTACCAAAATGTTACTTTCCAGCTGTACCTTAAGAGTTTTGTTTTCACATTTTACAAACTTGCGATCTTGAAGGTCATGTCAAGGTCATGATGTTTTGCTTCTTTTTATTAACATTTTTCCTTATTCTGAAGACTTTTAGATGAAAAACCTCGATCTATCATTAAACAATTATCTTGATGTATAACATTAGATCAATATATAATGGTTCCTAGTGGAAATAATAAAGATAATCGTGAAAAACAATCGTTTCAATTTGTGAGGCACCACAGGGGATTTCTGCAATATTGTATGTTTTGATCTTCCATTTCGATTGCGGCATTTTCCGGAATATATCGGAACCAATCAAAATCCATGTCTCATACTGGAAACCCTGTTAATCTTCGGTAGCCATGATAGCCAATCAGATTTGTCGATATAAATATACCTGGATCATTGCTCGTATATCAAGGTAGTGAGTTTGAAAATCGTGATGAAAATCGTGTTTCACCGCTACTGTGCTGCAGTAAAAGTTATCTTGATGCAGTTTGCGTCCTAGGGACGTAAGTTGATTTTGATTTTTACGTCCAACCTTCTGAAATTTCCGTAAAAATGGCAAAAAAACGTCGTCAATGCGAACACTGCACAATGTTGCCCACTGAAATGAGGTAATTAGTATTATTACCACCTTTTATTCCCAGGGCTGAAATAGCAAGAATGAACAGCCACCGAATGAAAACTATACGCTCTGAACGATATCTCATTTCCCAGGGAACATAACTGGGCAAAAATATCCATTTTGGCCCGCTACTGTGTCCGCAACTATGAAGTCACACATTGCTCAGGTCAATATAGTAAAATAAAATATTAGTCTTCTAAAGAGTACTAACCCTGAGAACAAAGTGGTAATAATACACAGTTTATAAAAAACCAATTGTGTATGATTTGATCTTGGGTATTTCATATATTGCAGGAATTTAACCTTGACATTGGGGATGTGTTTAAAAAAATGTTGTTAACATTGAAAGATGATGAATGGAGGCACACAAGGAGCATCATCAGTCCAACATTTAGCAGTGGCAAAATAAAACAGGTAAATTTCTGAAATATTATGAAGGGTGTATGCATACATCAATGACAATCTAACACAATCTTAGTGTAATTTCTTGTGATATTCCAAATGTTCTAGCCATTTTATAAATCGCCTTCATATTTTCTGTATAAATGGAAAAATAGATGGCAGCACATACGTTTGCAGAAAATGATAGGGCCAGAATACACAGGAGACATATGGGAAGAGTCTCTTAATTTTTTGATCTACCAAGTATATTTCAACTTTTAAATGTTTTTCAACATTTGTCTCGATGGGAATTTGGTCTGAAATGGTTAAAAATGCAGATCTCCTTAAATCTCACAAGAAATGAGACTTCAACGATATTTCATAGCTATTTAGAAAAGCTTCTATTATAGAGGAATTATTATCTGATAAGAAACCCCTGGAGTACAACATGTAACCCCACACATTTATTGCTGTTCTAGATGATGGAGCAGATCAATATATGCATTGATGGTTTTTTAATGGCACTGGGTGAGAAAGCAGATGCTAATGAAATGTTTCAGATAAAAGAGTAAGTCAACATCAGTGTATTTTTTAATCAATCATGATCATCAATGGTGGGAATTTTACAACTCAAATACATTTATATAATTGGAAAATAAATGTGGTATCAAGAAACTGTAAGAGTTGCTTAGATGAAAATGATACATATGAACACTTTTTCGTAAAATGTAGGAAAGTCAAAACCTTGTGGAAAGAAATAGAAACAAGATTGAAGATTAAGTTTGGTAAATGTATTCGATTAAATGAAAGACATATCTTGTTAATGTATGAACACAAAAATAAATATGAACAAAATTATTGTAACTTAGTGATTCAAATAGCGAATCGTGCATCTCAAAATTTAAATATGGTGAGCATCCCAATTTGCTAACGCTATTTGAATTTGAAATAAGACTACGAAATGTAATGGTATGAGAACTGTATGTTGAAATTATATTATGTATGTATGAAATAAGTTGGAATAAAAAAATAAAAATAAAAAAATGGTGGGAATTTTCAACCCTAAAATCAACACTAAATAAAATTTACCATCCAGCCAAATATTATCTTGTTTGGTAAATAACATATGAAAGCAGTTTCAATATAAAGTCATTTGTAATGTTTGATACACAGGTTTAATTTAACACGTATGTACACATGTTTGTTCATTACAGAAACCTGGCAGAGTGTACCATGTCTATGATTGCATCAACCGCTTTTGGAATTAAGATAGATGGCAATAGCGAATCTGAGAAGGAACTCAGAAACACATTTTTACAAATGGCCAATAAATTCATCAACCGATCGTTAAAAAACCGAATCGCATTGATAGGTTGGATTTCTTCTAAAACAAGGCTTATTCTATTCAGCAATTAAGGCATTTCTATTAATGAATATAAAATAAATTATCTACATTTGTGTTTCAGAACTGACGATATAGGCCTATCTGTAGTCATTTTGTCATCAGATTCATAAATGGAAAGATAATCTACTAATTGATACTGCATGAATAATAAAAAACAATCCAATCCATCTTTTTAACTTTGAATAGTACAACATTATGCAACATGTTAATTAGATGTTTTCTACGAGTAAATGTACCTTTTTATGGAGCTTTTTATAAAATTGTTTTATATGTACACATACAAGTATTTCAATAATTGTATTCTTATTTCAGTGGCCTTCATTATGCCAGTATTCAATTCCATAATTAATTATTTTGGACTGGCTAAAGTACAAAAAGGCACAGTTGAGTTTTATGAGGATATTATTAACCAGGCCCTGGCAAACAGAGAAGGTGATACAAGTGTAAGTTATCAAGACATTAAGGTGGCCTATAATGCTGCTTATTTTTTCGTGAAGCCACTCAGTAAAATTACGATTTCTCTACACCCTGATGTCCAATCAACATCATTCGAGTATCTTTGTGTTCACGTTTGGGCATTCGGTAATGACAACGTCTACCCAATGTTTGCACGAGAAATTGACGTAATTCATGACTGAAATCGGGAAGACAAAAATATGTGATATTCTTTCAGAATTGTTTATAATAACTATTTACAAAAATGTTCCCTTCCATGTTCTGTATGCCCCTCTACCTGCTTACTAAGGCAATGTATCTTCAAATAAAACCTTGGCCAAGTAGATTAGAGTCTCTGGAACACTTTTGTAAATAGGTTTTCACAAGCAATTTTGTTTGTGAATCTCAAAATTTGTCTTCCCCATTTCAGTCATAAATTACGTCGATTTCGTGTGCAAACTTTGGGTACACATTGTTATTCCCGGACGCCCAAACGTGTCAGGAACACATAGATACTTGAATGATCTTGACTGGACATCAGGTTGCAGAGAAATCGTAATTTTACTGAGTGGCTTCACGAAAAATTAAAAAGGCTATATGCCTCGTTAACTCATTGCTGACCAACCCCAAGACATTTCGTCTATGACGTCATAATCGTATGTGACCAACCCTGAGATATCTCAGGGTGCTGTCCAGTAATTGTCACATAATCTGTACCAATTATCATACCAAATATTCTAGTGGTCACTAGGGGAACCTGGTAGGGTGCAATTGAAATATTTTGTCATTGGCTTCACAAATGGCATAGTCTTTTTATGCTAATGTGAAAACATGCAATTTTGCTTAATTTTCCATCAAAATTGCCAGTCACCAGCAGAAAACATAGCTTTGGCCAGCAATGAGTTAAACACATCTCATGGCATCAATTTCTCTGCTTTGATTTACAATGACTTAATGACTGAATAAGACACAGTGATTTTCATACTTGACATTCAAAATGGCCACCTTGCAAATTGTCTAGTTTTCACACACAACATGCAACTTTCAAAGTTTGTGGGAGTAGCAATACATCTGAGTGAAACAAAATACTGTAATAGTCTAAAGTCATAGATATACTGCCATCTTGTGAGAATTATTTGGAGATGAAGTTCTGCTTTTTGTGCCATCTATGGTTGAAATCTTTCAAGAAATATAACTGTCTATGACCATAGATCAGGCATTAATAAGGTTATATATGTATATATTTTCATTTTCAAACATCTCTGTATAACCAGTAAAATAAGAGTGATATAATCTTTCATTTCCCTTCACTGTGATTTATGCTTCAAATTTTAGAGACGCATAGACTTCTTACAGTTGATGATAAAGGCACAGTCGGATGGAGATGATGCTAAAAGTAAGATAGGCTTCAACTACTCGTTAACTCAAATTTTTGTTTTTCAAATATTTTCTTATTACAGCACATATATTCAAACCCCAATATCCCAAAAATGAATTTGTGCTTTCTCTTAAATAGAGTTCACCAAGGAACACATCCTGGCAAACTCTCTTGTATTCTTCCTGGCTGGTAATGAGACAGTGTCTACTTCTTTGATGTGGGTGACATATGAAATGTCTCTCCATCAGGAGGAACAAGAAAAAGTTTATGAAGAGGTCATGGAAGTAGCAGGAAATGAGGTGAGTTATCAAGCTTACCATTCTCTAAATAAATGTTCATCAGGCTAACTTTAGTTACCCCAAATCACACCCAATTCTCTTATACGTCGTAACACCGAAAGTTTACGGCGACATACAAGCATTTCAGGTGGGAGATATGTAAGTACTCATTTATTTCGACGTTTTGACAGAATATGGTCATTTCCCTTTCGTAGAGACATTGCCCATACCATGCAGATATACCTCTAGTATCACTACGTCTCGACATCTTGCCTGAACACGGTCTAGAACTTCTCAAACCTTCTAGAAAGCACGACATTTTCAAGAAAAAATGATAATTTTGCAAAATTAATGTATATTTCATGCACACAATGAGGCTAAAGATAGACATACTTCACTCAACAAGATATGTGTGCAGGCTAGCTGTAGTGTATGTTTTATGATGTTTACGACTAAAAACAAAAGATATTGAATTATGCCTTGGGAAAATCAAGTCTCAATCTTGTACATTTTATTTCATGTAAATTTGTTTTCGTGTAAATCAGTCATACATTAAAATTTGTAGCCAAAAAATCAGTTGGACATATATTTCATTGTAGATATCAAATTCCCTAAACGCCGTAAACCTCCTTGACGTCGTATGATTCCAAAGAAAAATTAATTTCTCGGAATTCTTTCATTAATATTGGAGACTGAAGTGTCTGGATGATATATAAAAATTGTTTTGTTAATCTTATCAATATTTCAAGATGATAGGGCTAGAATTGTAGAAACTATGATGATTTTCGTGAAAGATTATCTTATTTTTCTTGAAAATGTTGTGCTTTCTAGAAGGTTTGGGAAGTTTTAGACCGTGTTCAGACAAGATGTCGAGATGTAGTGATACTAGAGGTATGTCTGCATGGTATGGGCAATGTCTTTACCAAAGGGAAATGCCCATATTCTGTCAAAACGTCGAAATAAATGAGTACTTACATATCTCCCGCCTGAAATGCTTGTATGTCGCCGTAAACTTCCGGTGTTACGACGTATAAGAGAATGGGGTGTGCAAATAAGAACAAGGAGATGAGTTTAGATTCTTAAAATAATAACATGATGTGCCAGAAATAAAAACTTTTGGAAATGTACTGTTCTGTGCATTTATGGGTTTTACATTTTTTATACAGGGAAAGGATGACAAACGTTAAACTTTACAGAATACAAACAGACAATGTCAGCCTAATGTAGAGAATTGTCAGACAAATGGCCAACAATTACCAACATGACTGAGTTGCCTCCGAGTCCTCTTGTATGACATTCAGATGAATATAACGAATAAGATCTAAGTTGCCAATTGTGAATAGAAAAATATGCGCCAAATATTGCACAATACTTTGTATTTCAGGATGAATTAACATATGACATGTTGTCCCAAATGACCTACTTAGAGATGTTCATAGAGGAGTCAATGAGGATCTTCCCAGCTGCCATCAGGTGAATATATAGCAATCATCTTCATCATTCAAAATGTTTTTTAATGAGGTGATTAGGAAAGTCTAGCTATGCATTGAGAACTATTCTGATATCTTAGTTGTGGTCAAGAAGAACAGTCTCTCTCATAGAATGTCCATTTGGTTCCAATATATGAGGAATGACTAGAATCATTCTAAAATTGAAACATCAAATTGAAAATAAAATCTTGAATCTGGAAGTTTTTAAATACATGTCTACTGACTGTTCACCCTAGAGATATAATTATGCATACATGTATAGGGACAAATGTATATTGTAGAATTCATTGCTGCATTTTCTGCAAAAGGTTTATCGAAATCCATGCATCAGGAAGAAGTTATTTCAAAATAAAAAATATAGACACTTTTTGGCCCACACTGTAGGATCATGTGTTTCCAACAGTAATAATACAGTTTGATATTCTAGACTAGAGAGGGCAGTCAAAGAAGACGTGACAATAGATGGCATTAGATTTCCAAAGGGTGCTATTGTTACAATACCAGTTTTAGGATTACACCATGATCCCGAGATATGGCCAGAACCTGAAAAATTCATTCCGGAAAGGTGACGTGCATATATTAAAGATAAATACAGATAATTATTATGTATAATATGAACTACAAACTAAAATGAAATGTTATATTTTCCTTTCCAAGAATATATTTTCAAAATCTATTAAAGGGTGACGCATATCGTTTAGCAAATCGAACGCATGTTTCTGATGTTGCTCACCGTTTAGTATAAAAGGCCCGATCCCGGAATAATACTCAAGGGTTCACAGGTTCGATGTCGTTGTGTCAACACCTCTAACTGTTATATAGCCTAAGTATATTATAGATCGTCACACATTTATAAAAGGGTGATTTTTATTTTGACAAATCAATTCCAAATTTATGGGTGAAGTTTCAGGATCTTCTATTTGTGTATAATAAGGAAAAATTGGCATCTAAATTTCCCCATAACGTAATAGCACACAGCTTGGCATATGAAATATCCTACAAATGAAACAAAGCAGTTCTAATACAAGGATTTATATTGGCTGTTGTACATGTACTGTTTGAACGCAAACACTCTATGGATAACGTTTTCAAAATCATTATAAACGGATTACTTTATCTCAAAGACAATTTCAATAAACTGGATTTTACAGAACTCCCCTTATTTCTTAAAAATGGACTGATCCAGTTGATTCGCCTGGAGCCGCCATATTGTTTTTAAACGGGATGCTTATCGGAACCCTTTAAATATGTATCTTTTTAAAAATTCAATTTAATACCTGAAATTTTGAACTCCAAGATCAAGGTACAAATTATGTTTTGTTTCCAAGCCATGTGAGCCCTAATATTAACATAAGCTTATCTCAATTCTCTATTTTATATCATGTATGTTTAGATTTACAGCAGAAGAAAAGGCAAAGCGCAACCCATATTACTACCAACCATTTGGTCTTGGACCCAGGAACTGTGTTGCCATGAGGTTTGCCCAAGTTGAGGTGAAACTATGTATTGCAAAGATGGTTAAAAGTTTCAAGATTCTCCCGTGTGAGAAAACTGAGGTAAATATTTACACATGTTCAAGACATATAGAGCAAAGAGCAGGTGTTATATCGACAAATACAGACCTTAGGGCTAGACACAAACGTTTTCTGTTCGAAGGTCTTTGTGCCCAGCCCCAGGGTCTGAAGTCATCGATATAGCACCTGCTCTGAGGTCTATATTACAATTCAAACATAAAACTCACCAAAATGTTTTGAATATTTATTATGGTCCACCATTACTACGGCCCGCCATTATGATGTCACAAATTACTGGTATTACCAGGTGTATTGTTTGCAAATATAACGCTGGTGAAATATTGACTTTGTTCACAGTTAATTGAAGGCGTGAATACAGTCATGTTCAAATTATGTATAATCCGCAATGTCACAGGGTTAATTAAACAATACATTAATGTGACACATTTGTTGGATATCATTCACTTAGACTCGGAGGAAGTGTAAGTTGTCACTCGTTATATTTTGTGACTGGAATTACCCACAAAATTTCCCTGCTCATCAAATAAATTTCCCAATATTGAGAGAATATGTTTGAGAAACGATAAAAGGTTAGTGAGACAAATTAGAAGGTGGTGTCAAATTACTACAGAAGTTGATTTTGAACCGTGAAGTGCAGACATGACTTCAAAATCACCAAAAGTTGAGTGAGATTCTACATTTCCTCCAAACTTACATCAGATGCAAAACTCTGGATTCAAAAATAGTTATAACAATATGTCAACACTTCTTTGTGACGACATAAAATCATCGATCTGAATAAAATTGAAAATATCATCATGACATGTGGCGATACATATCCAGAGCATTATACAAAATACTGTAATGCAGTCAAACTTAAAGGCTTTTAAAATATAAAACACAATTTCACATTTTTCAGGATCCAATCAAGATGGTTAAGATTGGCCGAATGCATCCCAAAAATGGAATGTTCATCAAAATAGCCAGACGTTAAACACAAACTCAAGTTTGGCTTTTTGAAAGGATCATGTAACAAATCAGAGAATGGACTATATCCAGAGAATATGGCTATTTACAATATAAACCAACCACTGAATCATTTCAGTAATATAGTTAAAATAGCAAGCGTTTTAAGAAATCCCTATTTCAAGATTTTAAACTAAAGTTTAGTTGTGTATTTATCTGCTCCAAACAGCCATTAAAATACAGCACAGTTGAATACTTTCTCCCTATATTTTATTGTTCAAACCATAATGCAATTGACTAAAATACATTTTAAACTGGAAATGAAGACACTGTAAATATCCATTTTTGGTCAAATCAAAATATATAATCTGTAAGATATAGAATATCTGTGATTTTGTATGAATTATTTTGAATGTTTACATGAATATACTCAAATACCATGAACATGTACTGAAATACCATGTAATGACCATGTACTGAAATACCATGAACATGTATGTATGTTATCTATTCAATCGAAATACATGTATATCTTTAACTAAATCTATCTGAGTTTGTGTTTTAAATGTTGCCTCCTGTGCATTTATGTATTCCTCTTGCTTGTTTGCCATCAAAATGTTGCAGATTATAAACTTTTGGAAACAATAAATGTTTTAATGTTCTGTTTTAATAGAAGTTCAGGGACAATACAATGTACATACAGCCAACCCTATCTAACTGGAACACCACTAGGACTGGCCAAAAATCTACAGATTTGCATTGCACATTTTGATTTTTTTAACAAAGCTAATCTATTGCAAATAAAAATAACAAGGTGTTAACATGCAAAATGTCACTACCTATCATTTGTTACAGACACAGAATGCTGACCACCATCAAACAAACACCAAATCCTGAAGACTGTCCACAAAAAAGTTGGAAACTATAACAATATGTAAAAACTTGTGGTGGTGACATAAAAATGGGATCTGGTGATGTTACCACATTGAGAGGATTGAGAGTTGTTCAAACATACAAGATTTACTTTATAATGTAATAGTGAAAATGACTTAAGAAATGATTAGGTATATTTCATAGAGGTATATATCCCCTATTCCCCATTTGGAAGGCATTCCATATTACATGTACAAAATACATTATAAGCTTTAAGAACCCTCCTAGCTAACAATTTAATATTTTAAATTGTACAATGTAGTAAATGAACAAAGGACAGGTCAACATTTTGACGTTATCCCACTGACATTTCACATCAACCATTAGCCCAGAATTTCATTCTGTGCTTTCATTAATGAATATTGACTCTCTCCCCGTCACCAAAAAACACTCTAGCAAGACATAATGGACACCTTCCCCAAACATCCCTTAAACTGATTACATTCATGGGTGTACTATAAGTAATTGAATGATTTGAAGTGCAATACAAGATATATTCTGCTCGAGAAATTCTGTATTGGAACGAGACAAAGTCTAGTGCCAATACAGAATATCGTGTTGTGTGATCCTCTGTATTGCTACTGAGAGTGTTCCCTCCGTACCAATATTTTCTGTATTGCGACGGAGATGATCAATGGGGACAATCTCAGTAGCAATACTATACACAAGAGTAAATTAATTGATCAATTTAAACTTGCTAATAATTATGCCAATAAGTGGCGATTTCAATTTAATGCTTCTAAGAGTGCAATTATGGTTTTTGGAGAGACAAAAAGTCAGAAAAAGAAAAGACAATACTCTGAAGGTACCAACATTTCAGTTGAAAACCTTGTAATTAATGAGGAGAATTCATATAAGCATCTTGGTGTTAATGTTTATGCAAATAATAATTCTGATAAGTTGAGGAATGTTAATGCTACAATAAGTGATGCAAGATGTAATTTTTATGCATGTGTAGGAGCCAGAATGAGGAATGATGGTTTAAACCCCTTAATACTTTCTAAGGTTTACCAATCTGTAATGATACCTAAAATGCTATATGGAGCAGAAGTTAGATCTTTTAATAAGCAGGAGGTTGAACTCTATGAAAAAACTCATAAACACATGTGTAAATCTATTCAGAATGTACCTCAGAATACACCAAATGATGCATGTTTGGCATTATTGGGGTGGAGAGGAATATTATATAATATTGAGCTATGTAAGCCAATGTTCTGTTTCAACATATTGTCCTTGGGTGCCAGTAATATTTATAGAAACATTTTTATATTTAGAGTGTTTGAATGTTTAGTGAATCATCAAGCAGGTGGTATTACTAAAGAGTATATTACTGTTTTAAATAAATATAAATTGTTGGACAATGTTGTGAGCTTCATGTACAATGGTAGTATAAATATGTCAAAGTTTCTATGGAAAAAAATATGTAAGAACAATGTCAGAGATTTGGAATTTAATAGTTGGAGACAATCTTTATCAATGAGTATTCAACTTCAAGATTTTAGAACTGTACAGTTGCATATTGACATTCCTTCTATCTGGTATTACTTAGGACTCAAACATCCCGAACTTAAGCAAAAATGTAATATGATGATTAAGTTGCTATGTGGTATACATAATTTAGAAATTAACAACCATGATTTACCTAGAGAAAATAGGGAATGTAAGAGATGCAATAATAACTCATTAGAGGATCTTTATCATTTTATTATGGATTGTGATAATTATGTTGATATCAGAAAGATTATGATTGAAAATTTGACTAAAGAAAATCCTACATTTAAGAAACTTTCATGTGAGGTTTTATATAACATTATTTTAGGCATGGAGTTTCCAATGAAAAATTGGGATAATGTTTTGATTATTTCATGTAAGAATGTCTCAATTATGTACCAAAGAAGATTTTTTAGCTGAGTTACCAATGTATCCATTGTTATTTTGGGTCTAAATTTTGCTCATTACATACATGTATAATTCATGATATTGTAATTGTCTAATTAGCATAAGGTATAGTGTAAGATTGTTATAATTGTCAAACTATTCTTCAGTATTGGAGGCTAAATAAATAAATAAATAAATATAGATTGGTACAGCACAAGAACTGAAGTGACCAATCAGAAGGCTTCATTTTACAGATCATACGATAAATCAATATATTGAACTTGTCTGTTCGTGTGTTATAATATAATTTACTTACCGCAGGAAGGGCAAAAAATGAGATTGCAAATACTGAGAAACAAGAGGCAACTATTTTCCCAATCCATGTTCGGGGCACTATGTCACCATAGCCTATAGTTGTCACTGTGATCTGAAAAAACAAAATAAATTACAGAAAAATCATGCCCCGTAAAAAGATAAAGAAATATTAAGTTTAAGAGGGACATTCATAACAGTTAAAGAGCCACATTCATAAAACAACTTTCTGTAATGTGCAGCATGTATCTGTGTATTGAACAGCATCACAAATTGGAATAACCAGCCAAAAACTTCAACTTTTAGTTTCTTGTGAAAATAATCATTGTGGTAGTTATGTTTAACAATGGGCTGCAAAAGTGTGACATTTGCAAAAGTGTGACATCTGCATGAAGTCCGGTAAAACAGACAAAAAGTCAACACTCGAATAGTTAAAACTTTCTGAACACCATGTACTTCCATAGCTCAAGGTGAACATAACCATAGAGAAATTCTAGGAATTGAACTAGGTATCTGACAACACCCCATTAGGAGAGCATACACTATTAATTTACTAATGAACTCCAGGAGTTGCTTCCTTATATAAATAACATTTTTATAAATTAAAATATGTCATCCAGGTGGGTATCTAGGATTGGCATAAAAATGGGTAACATTATCGGCGTTCCTCATTTGCTGAAGTTGGTTTGATCACACATGTCTTATCACTGTTCTCTCATGATAAGATTCATTATTGGACAATGTAACCTTGACATACATGCATTATGATTTTTGGGACGTAAGGAGGTTATCCATGTGGTTTTGATGACATGTATCATATAGATTTTTTCAGGCGGTTTCCTCAAATCTTCAACTTTACTTTCATATAACAGACGTTTTACAGGCTCCTAACTTTATTCAGTGCAACCATTTCACTCTAAAAAATCAAGTAAAGCCAATATTTGCCAGAAAAAAAGGTATAAAAATAAAGATGCAAAATAGAGATGTCATTTTTTACTTCAATTTGATTACTGCTCAGAGTTACAAATGTGCCAGACAAAAATGAATACATACCACACCCCACCAGAGGGCATCTGCATAGCTTGTAAAACTGGCTTTTCCATTGACACCGATGTCATCTTTTTCTGCCAGATACACAAAATATGAGGAAAAAATTAACCCCAGGAATCCTATGTACAATGTTGTGATGAGCTCCTGGAATTAAAAACGAAAATAAAGTCAGACTAACGCAGAATTAATTGAATTACATTTTCCATGCAATGTTGCACTGAATCAGGAGCCATCTCTTCTGCTGAAATTTCATAAAATCTCATGAATATATTGCTTATGAAAATTGGAGATTTTCTAAATCAATTTGATGCAAATGGTTCAAGTCTAAGAAACATCAATTATGGGTTTATCCATCAGGAAATATCTAAATCCTCAGGATAAACCCTATACTTCCTGGTAGATAACCCTAATGCACTTACTTGTCTATGTATATATACTACAGAACCTAAAAGCCTCCAAGTGCCCCCCTGCCTATCTACATGGAGCATCCGAAGAATTTGGAGAAACCGTATACCCCTGGAAACAGAAATGATGACATGGTGCTTAATATTCATGGTGAGGCAGAGCACAGAAATATGTATATTCAGTAAATTATCAGTAAATCATTCTCCAAAAAATTGTAATGCTTGTTTTTTATGATAAAAAGTGTTTAAGGCCCCATGCAAAGTTTAATAAAAATATGTTTTTATCATGTTTTCAATTTTATATCGGCCTTTAATTGTTCTGAAATTGTAAAGGGGATTAATTGCACATACAGAATTTTTTTAACATAATGAATATTCTACACGTTAAAGCCAATTTTAAAGTGAATATGTCAATTTCTATTCTATCTCACCTGATGGCTGAAGTTGCGAAGACTTGGCCATTTGAACCAACTGAAAGCACCACTATTGAAGCAACAACTACAACTAGATCTGGAAGTAGAAATGTGAACAATTTAGTGCAACTATTAAGCAACATGTATACCTATTACTTACTACACATTTGAGACATTTGGCCCAAGAGAAAGCACCACACTCCAAACTTCAAACGTGAAAGTAGATCTGAGAGAAGAAATGTGAATATTTTACCTAAATACCAAATAAAGTCACCAATATTGGGGCAACCTATTTTCACCTTCATATTTATGAATCTACAGTATATTCTCTACCATTTAAAAAATTATAACATTTATTTATATTTTGATATACTTACACTGTACCTTAAGTATAATGAACTTTGACATACATTCCATTAGTTAAACAAAAAGGTTCACATTAAACATGACGCAAGGAGTCTATAAAACACACGATAGATAGTAGTAAAATAATAAAAAATAACTTATGCCTTAATCTCAGAGTGCACAAAGTATTATTTTTCTGTTATGTACAACCATAACAAAAATATTAGACCATACTAAGGATATTATGTCATAACAGGAATATCATACCATTATAATGATATAAAACCAGAACAACGGCAACGCCAAAGCGTAGCGAATCCCATCGAACAGAAATAGCTGGCATTTTTACAAACGAAATATATAGCAAATATCATAAAATAACACACATAAGAAAGTTGTCATCAGAAGAAGTAATATGCTTTTTTATAGTATTCACATGCCAAATATGAACAAAATCGCTCCACTACTTTTCGAGTTATAGTTAAATACTTTAAAATGGTGGCCATTTTTCAAAATGGCCGCCTTCTACCAAAAGTGTCATAAGACAGTGTGCCATGCTAATAGTATTCGAATACAAAATATGAACAAAATCGCTCCACTACTTTTCAAGTTACAGCAAAAATCGTAAAATAACGAGTAAAGGCCGAGTAAAATACGTTTAAATGGTGGCCATTTTTCAAATTCCATTTTTTGTCATCAGAAGAAGTAATATGCTTTTTTTATAGTATTCACATGGCAAATATGAACAAAATCGCTCCACTACTTTTCGAGTTACAGTAAAATACTTTAAAATGGTGGCCATTTTTCAAAATGGCCGCCTTCTACCAAAAGTGTCATTAGACAGTGTGCCATGCTTATATTATTCACATACCAAATATGAACAAAATCGCTCCACTACTTTTCGAGTTATAGTAAAATACGTTAGAATGGTGGCCATTTTTCAAAATGGCCGCCTTCTACCAAAAATGTCATTAGACAGTGTGCCATGCTTATAGTATTCACGGTATCTGGTCAACTCGGACCCTAGTTAACTCGGACCCTAGTCAACTTGGACCCTAGTTAACTCGGACCCTAGTCAACTTGGACCCTAGTTAACTCAGACCCTAGTCAACTCGGACCGAGTCATATTCAAAATAGATCAGAGGCATTTCGCTAGATATAAAAGGTGAAAGCAATTAACTTGCAAAATATTAAGAATATTGGAATAGTTTAAGATATAATTCAATTCATTACTGAAATCTTTAAATAATGATGTTTATGTATTTCTGATAGGTCAAAATCAATCTTTTAAAACCTTTATACCTTTATGCTAGTTGCTTGATCAAAATACTCTTTATAATTAAATAAGAATGATTTTGATTAATTTTATATTGACTTTATATAGAATTGGAACCTATAGTATGTTTAAAAAGAAATTAATTCAATTTAGCTTGTTGTTGTGTATAATGCTGTTATAATAACTTTGACTAAGAAACCTAATTAAGTAAGTATTTAATTAGGGTGTTGAAGTAAACAAAATATAGAGTTATTACATTAATTCCAATATAACAGTATGGTGAAATGTATTAGTGCATTTGTGTTTTCACAAATATTCTTTCCAAATTCATTTTCTAAACATATGCGTAAAATTACTTTCTGTTTGTCGAAAATACATGATTATTTCATAACACATTTTTATTTCATATTTCAAAACTTCAAGGCGCATATAATGGAGATACAATGATTAAATAATTTGGTGATCTTGGTAAAATATTGAATGGGTGGGTGAATATATTTTGATTTAATAAATCAAAGAATTACAAATACAAATTGCAAGTTGATCAAACATTGTATTATCATTTGATTTGAAATGTTTTACTTTGTTAAGTAATTCATTAAAAATTATTGGCTTTCAATTTAATTAACATGTTTATAACTAAAACTTGGTTTGAAGAATTGAGATCAACAAAATTTAATTCACATTGAATTCGTAATTTATTGTCAAATACTATTTGTAATATAAATTAACCGGTTTCATGTAAAATCAAACTCTTGGTTATTAAATATTTAATCCTACTGGTATATGATTTCACTATCAGGCTGAGTGGTTTATGATTGACTCAAAATTGTCAGAATTTTTTCACCATTATCAACCATTGTTTTGTCTAACAATTATATATGATTAATGTTTTATTATAGACCTCTATATTACTTTTCATTTTAATGCTCAAACTGAGGAAAAATATATAAAAAAACATTGGTCCAAGTTGACTAGGGTCCGAGTTGACTAGGGTCCGAGTTAACTAGGGTCCGAGTTGACTAGGGTCCGAGTTAACTAGGGTCCGAGTTAACTAGGGTCCGAGTTGACTAGGAACCGTATTCACAAACCAAATATGAACAAAATCGCTCCACTACTTTTTGAGTTAAAGTAAAATATGTTAAAATGGCGACAATTTTTCAAAATGGCGGCAAATTTTCAAAATGGCCTCCTCCTACCAAAAGTGTCATTAGACAGTGAGCCATGCTTATAGTATTTACATACCAAATATGAACAAAATCGCTCCAATACTTCTTCAGTTACAGCAAAAATCGTAAAATAACGAGTAAAGGCCGCCATTTTTCAAGATGGCTGCCATGTGCTATTTTAATTTCTACATTTCTAAGTTTATCAATGTCCTATATAATTTTTTTACATTTAAAACATAATGCTATCACAGTTTTACATATTGCACCTAAATTACTGTAAAATCGGCACTAAAATGGCCGCCATTTTTAAATGAGCGGCCATTTTGAAAATCGGCTTTTTAGCAGAACTTCTACCCCCATAGGGTATATGTGTACAAAATATGAACAAAATCGGGCTAAAAGTATTTGAGTTATTGCCCGGACGGACGGACAGACGGACGGACGTACGTACGGACGTACGTACGGACGTACGTACGGACGTACGTACGGACGTACGTACGTACGGACGTACGGACGGACGGACGGACGGACGGACGGACGGACGGACGGACGGATGGAGGCGTTCCCTATATCCCTCCGAACTTTGTTCGATGGGATAAAAATCACAGGCATTATTATACCATAGTAAGAATATAATAATACCATAACAAAGGTATAACAAAGATATTAGACCATAAGGATATTATACCAAAATATGTCTTGACAGTGGTTAGGATTAATTGTTTAATAAATATGGTAATTAAATTGTTGATAATTAACTATGTGTTTTTGAAGTGCTTCCAAATCTTGATATAATGGAAATAGATATGGAACATTCATAAAAGTCAACTGGGTGGAATAAGAACTGCAACACCCAGTAGGATGCCGAGCCAAATTATGTATTGTCCTAAAAAATACAAAAAATACCACTGAATAAAAATTATTCAAAAGATAGTTACCACTTCTATGCTCGTACTTACCTATTATTGATATAGGTTTCCGAGCAAAATTGAATCGCCCAGTAAACCCCATATATTTACTGCGGCACCCTGCTGACCAGAGTCTAATTATATACTCTAATCCAAAGAACACTACAAGCACAATCTCCTGGAAGAGACCAGAGAAATTATTTTAGACACACAAACTGAGACATTCAGGTCTAGTTTGTGAAGCTATTGTATGTGGTTGTGCTATGTATAAAGTTGACAGTTTTAGGAAAATATCTGATAATTTTCATGATATCAGAATCAAAAATGAATGCATTGAGTTGGCTGATATTCAATTATTTTGCAACATATGAAATCACCATGACATTGGTCTTTTTGTTGCTACGTTATGTCACATTCATAGATTTGTCAGATTGTCCCGGGTGACAAATTCTTGTTTTTTTTAAACAGACTGGGGAATTGGTCAAAATATTCCAATTTTTATGATTTTTTTTAAAATTCTCCACTTCGTGCAGAGCCAGATTGATTCGCTGTTACGGAGATCAATGTGAGCCTATAGTTTGTTTTACATGGTTCATGAGAGGTCTTGATCATATACGACTCATGAGTGTTGTCAGAGCCTTGCGCATTGTAGATGAAGTGTCTTTTAGAGAAGCATAATAAACTATGAGAGAGTAATCATTTACCTACACCCTCAAAATGCAATCTGATTTTCGACGCCATTTCGGTGCCGTTTCGGCACCAAATGGACTGACTAGTCCGGTAACAAATTTTGGTGTTGAAAGGTTTCGGTGCCGGAACAGTGTCGAAACGGTGTCGGAACAGTGCCGAATTTTTTCGATGCCGAAACAGCATCGAATCATATTGGCTGTGTACAGGGTGGCCAAAAAATGAAAACCCTGCATTTTTCTCATACCTTTGTTACTTTAGTAAATTACTCCCTGCTATTTAACACATTTCTACATCATTCAATTTCCTATCACCCTACCATATTTCATGACCATCAAACTGATAGTCACAATGTTAGGACCACCCTGTATATAGGTTCCTAAATCAGCCAACTCATAATACTCATAGAGAAGATGCAAAAAGGGATACTGCTAGATTGGTATCGGTCATAGAAACTGACCCTAACAAAGGAAGAAAGAACTATTTCTATTTTGCTATATGTTAGTGCATGAAGTATATAAGTAAACTTATCACATGCCAAGCCAAAAATTCAGAAAATCAACCAAACATTGTTAATCGAAAAATAAATAAGAGTGACACTTACAATAGCCTCACATTATCTAGACTCTAAATAATATATGTGCATAACAAAATACCTACCTATCACGCTTACAGGCTTTTTAGCAAAATTTAGCCGACCCCTGGCCCCCATAAATTTGCTACGACAACCTGCTGACCAGAGTCTCACAATATATTCTGCACCAAAAAATAATACCAGGACTATTTCCTACAAAATAACAGGGGGTTAAGTATGGAACCTTGTATGACACCTTTGTTGTTTTCTTTTCACATTGTTTTGTCTTGATTTCAAGTTTGATACAGGCATATGCTTTACAACAATCAACTAAATTATTATGATTAAATTATGGCATACATTGTACGCTACTGTATACTATATGTGATTAACTGAGACATAGTAAAAAGCCATCAAAGATTTCAAGGGTGTCAGACAAGAACTATAGTATTAGGTGGTCCATGTTATTCAGTTAAGCTGTATAATTAGACAAAGTATTTCTTATTCTGTTATTAATGTTTCGAAATAATAATCACAGTTCACAATTAATAAAAAATATAGGATGTTTATATATTCTTTTAATTAATAGGAGTATTAAAAACATTTATATTTTTAACTAAACATAAAATTATATTTATGTAAATATACATACCATCCAAAATAAAGTTTCATTTGCAAATTCTGTATATTGTTCAATAGTTGAAAGCACACTGAATATTAAGCAGATGAGCACCATCATAAACCTGCAAGCAGAAAAATAAAAAATAGATCATTATAATGAAGTACATACAACAGGGAAATCTTAATACTTTTGATTTATTATAACCACTGGCAGATCAAGGGGAGGGCACATGGGGCCAGTAATAACAATGTATTTTTGTAAATTGTCGTACTTTTGTAAATTGTTAGAATATTTTAATTAGGTAAAATGTTTGTTATGTTTTATCATGTTTATCAGTTTAATGTTTTTATTTCTTATATTTGATTAGATTATATATCTTTGTTTCTTGTTTCCACCAGAGTCACCTCATTTTTGGATTTAGTGGTTCCATCATCCAAAAGTAGCCTAATAAGGTAAGCTAGCATGAATATAATCTAAATCAAGTAACCACTTTCAGTACATTGAATCCGAAATCAGCAATGAAAACTCTTGGTCACATTTCTGGATTTTTTATTTCAATTTCCATAATAATATCAAAAGTCTAATATAGGAAATCTACACTATAACTCCTGAGCTATATTAAAAATAGTTTTACTGCCTTTAAAAGATGGCGTAACCTAACAACTGATAACAAATTACAGTATTCTCCCTGAAGTTTCTTGATGCAGCACTTTCTCAATAACAATATGACAAGTCTAATATATTGACACTTGACATTTTGCCATTCATCTAATGTTCCATAATAGTAATGGCATATTAATAGAAAGTAATATGCAAATGTCTTGTTATTGCATCATTATATTATGAGTGAATCTTTATTGCAATAACAAAACATAGCACACTAAGCCCCTACTGCCTCACTAAGGTGATGTATGCATATTGCAGTCTAACGAGCTTTTGAATTTTTTATAAGAGATATGGGGAGGGGGGAAGGGGGGGGGGGTTATCAGCTGGGGGGAGGTTATGGGTCTGGGGGGAGGGGGATATACTGGGGCTTAATGGAGATTTATTCTCGTGAAACAAAACATGAGGTATGCACCAAGGTTGAAATCCTGATTGCCACAATTTGCCAGAATACACGCTTTTCATTTTTAGAGATCCGTGATGATTTACCTGCAGTCTATTGCCAAACTGGCACCTTATTTTCCAAGTTTATTTCTAATCCAACTCAAATTGTTTGTCACTCTAATTACCAAATGCAAGTAGAATATTAAATATTCAAAGTTCAGTCAAAATGATGTTATATTTGAAATCTTCATGTAAAAGTACATCTAGAAATATTGTTTCTAAAATTGTTTATCAACTTTGAAAATTTAATTTTTTTGTTTTGCAAATGTGACTTCTCGTTCGAAGGATTCGACATAGACCCCATGTTATAAAAAAATCACAAAAAGTGAAATATATTTTCTTGTATTGGACAGATAATATTTTCTTTTACTAGACATATTTTAGTTTGCAAATCTTTTAGATACATATGGGTGATATGAAACCTGTACCACTAAAACTGATGAGTATTTAAGTTAATGTGAACTTTCTACTATACCCGCCATATATCTGACCTTAATGAGCCACCTGGCGGTGAAACTGGTAACCAGAACAACGGCAACGCCAAAGCGTAGCGAATCCCATCGAACAGAAATGGCTGGCATTAGACAGTGTGCAATGCTTATAGTATTCACATACCAAATATGAACAAAATCACTCCACTATTTTTTGAGTTACAACGAGTAAAGGCCGCCATTTTTCAAGATGGCTGCCATGTGCTTCTTTAATATCTACATTTGTAGCATTATTAATGTCCTTTATAATTTTTTTACATTTAAAACATATTGCTAATACAGTTTTACATATTGAAAATCGGCTTTCGAGCAGAACTTCTACCCCCATAGGGTATATGTGTGCTAAATATGAACAAAATCGGGCCAACGGTCTTTGAGTTATTGCCCGGACGGACAGACGGACGGGCGGACGGACGGGCGGACGGACGGATGGAAGCGTTCCCTATATCCCATCGAACTTCGTTCGATGGGATACTTACCTACTCGCATCTGAGTTATTGAACTACGCAAACTGTGGTTTTTGAACCCAAAAAGATGGCTAGTTAACATGAAAGGCCCATCGTGGTAAGCCACACCCTCACCATCTCTATCCTTCTGCGATGCAACAGAGAGATGCTATGAGTATCAGAATAAGAGAGGCCTTACTACGAGGTAACTAGCTATTACTTAATCCCGTAGATTAGCATACTAAAGTTCTATAAAATTAGAGCCTTTAGTATAATTATAGCTATCATATCACAAGACCTTTTCAAAGCACGAATGATAATCTGCCAGGAGTCACATGACCTTATTCTGACCAATCAGAATTTGTAAATTCTGATGCGAAGCCAAAAATCATAGCATAAATACACACTTGATAACTTAGACTTCATATTACAACAGTAGTCAAAATAGCGCAAATAATACGATATATGATGTTTGCTATTACATACTTTTATATATACTGGAAGATTCTAAAAATTCTGACCATATTTTGGTTAATATACTCTAAATTCAAACATTTTTTCTCAATTTCAGGTAGGTGTGAGGCTATTCCGTCAACTGTCACAAGTCAAGTAGGTGCAATAGCCAAATCCTCTAACATAGGCAACTAGAACTGCAACTCCACAGGGTAGCAAATCCCAACGAACAAAACATATTTTATAACAATAATGACAGAAAAAAAATCATGGGAGTTCAATTAGACTAGTTGAAAACCCATCATGGTATTAAAGTTTGAAGCAAATCTGTCATCTGGTATTTGAGTTATCAAAAGGTATAATTCTTGAGAAAAATGGTGACCATTTTTAATTGAGCGACAATATTGAAAATTCCTCCTTGAGCAGAGATTCTACACTTATGAGGCATAAGCCAGTAAAATTTGAACCAAATCAGTCAACTGGTATTTCAGTTACCGTCCAGACACACAGATGAACAAACGAACGAACAAACGGACAGATAGACAAATAGCTTATCTATATCTGAACTTGATTCAGTGGGATAAAAATGAAGTGCAGTGAATTTCTGAAAGTGTAATTCTGATCGTATATTAGGCCAGATCAAAGATGATTTATAGTCTGGCAAAAATGACATCAAATGCTACAATTGAAAGAATATTATGCCCTGAAGGGTGAGATTCAATCTGTACTGACTGCGGTCTTAATTATTTCATTTCTAAAGAAAGCCAAAGGTTATGTTAAACGTAATTGCCAGGGAGCAAATTAACTCCAATGCAACAATTATAAGAATGAGTTGAAGCATGAATGAAGAGATTTTTTCATTTGGTCTCCATTATTTCCTTTCAAGGTCAAGGTCACCTGAAGATCTAATCAGTCTACTCAATCAGCTTTGATAACTGAGGACATCCCAAGGACGTCAATGCTTAGAATGAATGTCACAGGTATGATGTTTTTACTGTGGAAAATAGTGGAATCTTCAAGTTGTACCATACCTAGAAATATGCTTGATGCATATAGAATTGACGGGAAAGCATTCAATTCATTTAAATCTTGGAGATTTCGTATAGAATCATTACACGACGCATATTGCAATTCTAGCCTCGGGAAAAATAAACTTAGAGAATGTGTTTTTCAATTTGCGAACAGATATAATTGGTTAAATTCCAATCCTATGAATGAATATATCAGGAATTGTCGAGTGTACTACAAAAATTCTCGCAAATTCTTTGACAATGGCCTCAAAGACCTCATACTCTACTCGGAACAATGCAAAATCTCCTAAAATAAGATAAACCACTGGGAAGTACTTCTGAACATCCCACTTATGCCATATTTTTGAATTTCAATGAAAAAAACAATAGTTTCCAGGTTTAACAAAGAAATCTAATGAAAGGGTGAATTAATAGTAAGTAGTGTTCTTATTGCTGTAATAATTGCAATAGGTGAGCTAAAGCCGAGTTAAACAAACGAATCATATTGATTTTTCCCTTAGTGGTTACAAAATTAATATAATTTTGTTTGACAATTAATATTGTACTTCAATAGTTTCTTAGGGATGAATCCAAAAGCCTTACAAATTTGTTTTGATAAATGAATATTTCATGGAAATAAGGTAATCTGGAAATCTAAAATTTTTCAAGATAATTCAACATAAAATATTTTTCTTATTTTTGAAGATGTTAGCTACTGTCAGTAAATCTGAAATTTTGTGACATAATGCCGACATAATATCACATTCCTGTCATTAAATCAATCCTATTAAAAAAATAATGATGAAGTTCAAGTCCTAACCAGGAAATACCTGAGCAGCTGCTTTGTTTAAAAAACATAAATACGATTTTAATGAGAAATTATCATGCTCAATGGCAAAATGCTTTGACAATGACATGAGCATCTATTCTTAGTATGAAATATAGAAACAAGTTTAAATGGACTTAAAGAAATAATGCCATTTGAAAAATAGGTCAAAGAGCCCTAAAAGAATGATTTCGAGTGCCCCATTCCATCTTTGCACCCATATTAAGATGAGGTAGGTCAACAGATCTGCCAATATAATTCCATGAATATCATCTATTTCTATGGATGTTTTATCTTCATTCTTCAGTGAACAATGGCCTAATTGTTTAGAGCACCGGATCCCATAAAGTACCGGTCTCTTGGCAAGATCGTATCATTAAAATCTAAGATTACACTTGGGAGATTGTTAGAAGCATATACATTAAAACCTGTAAACTAGAACATCTCTCTTAGTAGAACACCTTCGTAATCACTTTATATACATTGTCCTTTGACCAAGTGACTTAATGTTAAATAGACCTCACTCAATGGAACACCTCCGAAGTGGAACACCTCAGAATTCAATTCCACGTATACAGGATCAACTGTATAGAAAAATAAGGCAAGAATAGAACAGATCATGATTGAGAGTAAAAAATAGAGGCCTTAAAATCTACCAAACATGACCCCAAATCCTTCAGTTTTAGATTCATACCAAGAAACATCACATCAAGTGACTTGTGTGGAAAAGCACAGACAAGGAAAGTGGGATACTGCCAACCCAATTGACACCCCCCCCTCTAAAGCAA